CACCATAAAACAATTAAGTTATAGCTTAGAGATACCTAAATAAATTAAGAACCTTCACCCTAAGAATAATAAGGTCCCTTCAAAGGAAAGAAAGGCACTACCTATCCATCCCCAAAATAAAGAGATAAAAGAAACAAGTCATTATAATAAGTTTAGCTGAGTCATACCTATACTAAAGGATATAATTATTGAATTAACAGCCTGAAAGAAAGGAATAGTCTGCCTTAATACAAAAAGGGTGCACACATATTTCAATCTGTATGAGAGGGGAAAATGGCAGGAATTTTAAAAAAGAAAGATGGTAGTACAAGTTACATGAGTTTTCTGTAGGACATTTTATTTTTACAACCATAACCCTGCAAACCATGGGGATAATTAAAGACATAATAATTTAATTTGGAAACTGACTATTGAAGCAGTTTAGTCTTACAAGAAAAAAAAAAAGAAATGTTCCTGGAAACTTTTGCTATTTCAATATTTTTTAAAAAGAACCAGACAAATTACCTTCTAGCTAGAAACAACTGTGTAAAATTCAGATGTTGAAATATCAAACTGGAAATGCTTGAATTGACAAATTCTAGCCCTTACAAACAGGCTGAGGAAAATTTCAAACATAGCTATAAAGTAAAAATCCATTATTGGCATAGAAATAGGTTGAACATTCCCATCTTAAATCGCTCTATCTCTTTAATATACCCTTTCCCAAATAATTTATCCCATGATGAGAAAATGCTTACCTTTTGACCTAAAGTAAGAGGGCCAATAGGTTTTTCCATCCACAAGTCTCTAAAAATAAGAAGAAAAAAAAGAAAGTAAGAAGAAAAAAATATTGATTTCTAATAGATATAGTTCCTTATAAGAGTGATCTGGTCACATATGTTCATAGACAAGTCATTTTAAAACATCTCACCTCTTTTGTGTAAACAAATATCCTTTCAGGAATTAGAGACACTCGAGCTTGTATTTCTATAGCACTCACAAGTGGGAACAGCTCCTAAAAATCTCTAAGGATGTGTGCCCACTGAGAAATAAGATGTCTGAGTATCTAGACTTGACATTGAGTGATGTATATTTTTTTTTTGTCATTATTTCCAGATTCCATCAGAGACCTATTGACTGTGCTTTCTAATAGATTCAAAAGTGAAGGTGACCTGAAAAACAGGCCCAACTCAGCTGCAATGTTCAGTCATCAAGGAGGGGGACCAACGCCTGCAGCTTTGACTTGGCCTTTGTGTAAGAAACTCACAAAACTAAGACAGATTTTAATACTAAGTCTCCACAAAAGGAATCCCTGTAGTGCTGGCAAGCTTGGGAATTGGGAGAAAAAGTGGGAAAATTGAAGTAACAAAATATTGGCATTCAGTATTACACTAAGTATAACAGAAGTTAACCAAAATCCAGGCCCCAAATAACAAACATGACACTCACTGAAAGAAATAAATATCTTCCAGTGTAAATGATAGCACAGAAAAATCGTTCTGATTCACCAAGCTTCCTAATCCTTTTAATATTCATAATTATGCTGGTTCTTGCCTAAGCATTAAATGTGCTTATTAAATTTCTCTCTGACAAGCCACACAAAGTAAGCCTTAGTGATTAGATTTGTTTTTGTGCCCTAACATTCCCCAAAAGTTTTGTTTAAAGAATTAAAAATCTACTGTCCAAGCTAGACTCCTGGCTTATCTTAGATTGTTCCAGTGATTTGTTAATTTACCAAAGTGAAATGCATGTTTGTTTGATTTTTATTTCTCTCTCTAGTTTCTCTTTTTAAACATGGGAACAATAATATGGTACCTATAATTGCCATAACAGGGTTATGGTTAAGGTTCTGCAGACATTAGCTTGTGGAGAGTCTTCTGAACAAATATAAGGAGCCATTTTATATTGGAAATATTGCTGTAGAATATTGTAGTAATAGCTTTGTGGTGGCTAACAGAGCTGAAAGTCATAATTACTCATACACTCCAGCCCTCAGAATTCCTTGTTATTGCCCACAATCCTTTCTACTTTTCAAGACCAAAGAACACAATGGTCTATTCGGTTTTTTCTTATTTGACCCTAGACAACTGACGAATATTCTGTTGAAACCCTCCTCTGAGACCTCCCCTAAGATTCCTGCCTACAAGAAAGAAAGAATAAGCCTCAAGACAAAGGACCCAGCCTTGCTCTCCCTCTGAGGAGCAGCCTGCATGCCATTCCCTTCCCCTTCTTCTTACCCTACTTCTCCCATAGGCATGGATCTCCTAAACTCTTGCAACCAAGGGAGCAATGGTCAGTGGCAGCTTGTCCCAAGCGAACCCTGAACCTGTTCCCAAGGCCCACTTTTCTCTGATTTCCCAGAGAGCTGAGGAAGCCCAGCCTAGGCTCTCCTGTTGCTTCTTCTATGCTAAGCCCTTTCTTGTTTTATTGTCCCCAGCTTTAAAAAAATGTTCCCTCATAGTCACCTGGACTCCTGCTCTGAAATTTTTCCTGCATGAAGTTAAGAACCCACACACTACTTGCCAGTCCTAGGCAGATCCGCTAAGGGCCAAGTCCCCTTTCTGGTAACATTACTACTCAATACCACTGAGTTTCAACAGCATTATTGTGGCATAGCTAATTAATAGAGATGGTGTTCCCTTAAAGAATATGCACCATTTGCTAGAGTATTAGTTATCAAAGCAGACTATCCTATATAATAAAAGGTTAATATGCAAATTAACTGAACAGGAATTGACCTGTCGCTATGATGCGCACTGACCAAGGGGCAGACACTCAATGCAGGAGCTGCCCCCTGGTGGTCAGTGCACTCCCACAAGGGGAGTGCCACTCAGCCAGAAGCCGAACTCACGGCTGGCAAGCGCAGCAGCAGTGGTGGGAGCCTCTCCTGACTCTGCTGCAGGCAGGCGGTATAAGGAGCTAGGGGTCCTGGACTGCGAGAGCCCTGGACTGTGAGAGGGATGTCTGACTGCTGGCAGGCGGGCATCCCCCAAGGGGTCCCGGACTGCAAGAGGGTGCAGGCCGGGCTGAGGGCCCCTCCCCCCAACCAGTGCATGAATGTTGTGCATCGGGCCTCTAGTACTTTATAACTATTGAATGAATCAATTGTTTAATTGAACTTAGTAGATTACCTACTAATGTAAATGTGCTATATTTGTGTGATGTTTCCAGTGCTATATGATTAAAATTGAGGACAATTTCCTGAAACAAGACATTTTCCTCCTTAGGCAAAGTTTACCATGAAATGTTATGTTTGAAATTGTATTGAATGAGAAGGTTTCCATTTTCCATTGTTGTTTAGGTCCCTTTGAATGCCTAGTGCTGGCATTTGGGCAGAAACATCTGTAAACTAGAAACAAATTATTTTTCCTCAGGCAAAGGGCATAAGGAACTCTCCATGGGAGCATTATGTGAGTTGAAGGAGATAAGGCAATGAGCATGATATCTAGCCATGAGAGTCTGGGTGCGGTTTCATAATTTATATGTTTAACAAGTTCCCAATAGAGGCAGATACCAATGTAGATTGTGCCTGCAGATTGCAGATTAGATAAGTGGAAAGAAATTTACCAGCCTCAATCATTCAACATGGTCTAGGCATCAGTCTTTTTTTTTTTTCACAGAGAAGGAAATGGAGATAAGTGATGAACTTTGTAAGTCAGTTAAGTAACAGTTGATTAAAAATGGAGACAGACTCATGGATACAGAAAACAGACTGACAGTTGTCATGGGGGAGCGTGGGGGCTGGCTGAAATGGATGAAAGGATTAAGCAAAGAATAAAAAAGAAAGACTCTTGGACAAGGACAGCAGTATGGTGATTGCCAGAGGAAAAGGGGGTTTGGGGTTGGGGGAGGTACAAGAGAGTAAAGGGGGAATAAATGGTGATGTAAGTAGACTCAACTTGGGTTGGTGAACACACAGTACCATATACAGATGATGTATTGTAGAATTGTATACCTGAAATCTATATAATTTTATTAAACAACTAGAGGCCCAGTGCACAAAATTTGTGCACGGGTAGGGCCCTAGGCCTGGCTGGCGATCAGAGCTGATCGGGGTCTTCTGGCTGCCAGCCAGGCCCTTCCTACCCCGGCTGCCAGCTGCCAGCTGCCAGGCAAGACCTTCCTTCATTCCGTGCCACCCTCTGGTGGTCAGCGCACATCATAGTGAGTGATCAAATTCCCAGTCAGTCAAACTTCCAAGGGGACACTTTGCATATTAGCCTTTTATATATATAGATGTCACCCTGCCGGGGTTCTTGTTCCAGCATTAAGAAGGGTTCAGCAATCTGGAGAAGGCTGTGAGTAGATTAAATAGGATTCCAGAGACAAGCATAATTTTGAAAGGCACTTGGGGGTCAGAGGAGCTTAGCTTAAAGGAAACTAAGATCTAAGGTCTAAGGTCTAAGGTCTAAGGTCTAAGGTCTAAGGTCTAAGGTCTCCTACGCTCAGGACCCCATGCTTTTTATTAACACAACTTGTCTTGAGGCGAGGCAGAGATATACACTTCAAAGGGTATACACAAGCATTGTCAGAATGGGGGAATTAGCCTACAGCTGTTTAGGTGTTTGGCCAGTAGGAGGCAATAACATGTAGATTAAGATGCCCTGAGCTGTCTGGCAGACAAGCAATCTTCCCTTTTCAGGTTTGGGGAAATGCCTTCAGCCATTCCCAGATTCAGCCCTGCTATCATGCTGGAAGTGGTTTCCAGCACCACCCTAATAAGTTCAATTAAAAAAAAAAAAAAGAAATCTCTTACTTCTTATCTCATAGAGATGCTATAAACTTTAAATGAGGTTATGACTATACCAGTAAAGTGGTCAGCACATTACCTGGTATATGAAAGCACTCAATAATGTTATAATGATTATTGCTATGATTACTATTTCAGTTTTCTTTTTATTAATTTTAAAACTCATCCAACATAGCCAGTAATCACCTCAGCTTCTTAGTATGTTATGTAATCACTTGGGCCTGAGTTTATTTATCTGTAAAGTGATTGGAATAAATGATCTTTAATATTTTATTCTAGATCTAAAAATCTCTAGTTTTTTTGTGTATTTGTGTTGTTGTTGTTAATCCTCACCAAAGGATATTTTTCCATTGATTTTTAGAGAGACTGGAAGGGACAGAGGGAGAAAGCAAGAAACAGAGAAACATCGCATTGATTAGTTGCTTCCCGTGCTTGCCCAGCCCAGGCCTGGGGATCAAACCTGCAACCCAGGTATATGCTCTTGACCAGGAATTGAACCCAAGACCCTTTGGTGTGCGGGCTGATGCTCTAACCACTGGAAACATGGGCCAGAGCTAAAAATCTCTAGTTTTACATAACAGGAATCAATCACATCTGTCTTAATTAAGGCTTTATACTCACTGAGTGTGCTCCTCTTTCTGACCACAACTCTGATGTCCTGAAAATCTTGTTTCTTATTTGCCTTATCTAAATTTTTTATCCTGTGGAAAACATTTTTTTTTTAAGGAAAAAGTAGATTGGACTTCTTATCAGTTTTTACTCCTATTTATGCCTGGGAACTTATAACTGAGGTACTATAAAGAGAAAAACCCAAACAGGAAAGGTTATATTTTCTGTTCATAGGGTCATACTTTTCCCATTTGTTTTTTGTTTTGTTTTTTCTGAGGCTTTCCTCGAGAAAATCAAAACCCCATTAACAGAAGTGCTACAGAAAGGAAGCTGCTATTGTTTTAATAATATGACTCTAATCATAATAATGTGACAGATTATTTATCATACCCTGAAGAGAGGAATCTCAAGTTGTTCTAGGTTTAGAAACTGAAAGTAACTCACTGAC